TGAGTTAAACAAATCAGCATAGGAGATTGTGATACATATATTGAATAATAGGACATTTTTCTACTCATGAGAAAAATGTAGAAAGAAACATAGAATGCTTTACATTGGCATAACCATTGCTGTTTCAATTTATAAATAAATACTTAGGTTTAGAGAATTAAATATCCATGAGAAAACATATTCCCATACTTTCCATTAGTACTTGCTATAAAATTTGTTATGGCATGAAAGTCAGATTGCAAATGATCTTACAGGAATTGATTTATTTCCAGATTGCACTTAACTCTGTTCTGTTACATATGAACAAATACTAATGCAAGTAAGCTCACTAAGTCCATTGTTATAGGACATACTAAAATGTGCTAGAAACATTGATAGCATGCTTTGCAGAAGATATACTGGTTCATTTAGAAAATTCTATTTTAATAAAATTCAGGTATATTTCTCAAGTACATTTTATATATTTCTGTATAAACTATTGACAACCTTATTGATTAAAAATTATATTTAAAGTTTAGCCAAACTGGGAGACCCAATCTGTCCAAATAAGTAGCTGTTTTTATTGGCAGTCATGGCTGCAGGAATAAACACTCAGTTTTCTTCAGAGGTTTTGTTCCAGGTAGCCTCTGCATGTTCTAACAAGTGTTCCTATATTCAGTCAGAAATAGGTAGATCTAAGTGAACTGTAAAATACAAACATAAAAATGTGGGAATGAAAACTGCTGGAGGGAAAGATGGGTGGTGGTGGGAATAGGTCCTATCAAAACACATGCTTGGAATTATAAACAATATGGTTTTATTTTTGTAATATTTTTATTTAATTTATTATTTTACATGTCGATCCCATTTCCCTCTCCCTCCCTCCCTCCTTCCCTCCCTCCTTCCCTTTTACTCTCTCTGCCCCCTCACATGCACCCTGACCAACCTCCCCTCCAATCCCTCCACCCCAAATTCCACATGTATGGCAATGCCATCCAGGTTGGGTCATTTAGATCTGACAGGTCATTTGAAGTAGGGACTAGGACTTCTCTCCTGTCTCTAGGTTAAGGCAGTATCCCTCCATGAGTGATGTATTTGCAAGGTCCTTTTGTGCACCAGGGATACATCCTGGTTCCACTGTCTGAGGTCCCTTAGACTGCTCAGTCCTTCTGGCTGAGACCCATATTCAGAGGGGCCTGAGTCAGTCCCATGCTGACTTCCCAGCTATCAGTCTGGGGGCCGTTAGCTCCTCCTTGTTCAGGTCAGCTGTCTCTATGTGTTTCTGCAACCTGGTCTTGTCCTCTCCATCTGAATCTAGGTTCTAGTTCAACTCAGTCTTTAGGTATTGCTGTTTGCTTCTGTTTCCAACAGGTATTAGATGAGGGGCTCCACGGATCAGTTAGTTGTTGATCCCTTTATCTGGGAAGGGCATTTATAGTAGCCTTTTAATGAATGGTCACATATGGATTTTCGACCTAGAGCAAAGGATCACCAGCCTATAATTCACCCCACCAGAGGAACAAGGATGCAAGGTGTATTCTAAGAGATTCACATAAAGTCCCTCACAGAAGGGGGAAGGGACAAGTCACCCAGAGCACAGGGGAAGTGGGGGGGGGGGTCAGCGAATGGAGGGAGAAGTAGGAGAAATAGAGGGGGAGGATAGGAAAACATGTGCAACTAGGAAGATTGAGTCCAGGTAGGATTAGAAGACAGGAGAGAGAGAGAGAGAGAGAGAGAGAGAGAGAGAGAGAGAGAGAGAGAGAGAGAGAGAGAGAGAACATAAAAGGGGAGCCAATATTGTTTTGAAGAGAAAATTGAACCCAAAGAAAGGTCTAGAGACCTACAAGACTGCCGCCAACTAACAATAAACAATATGTTTTAATTTTCAGAAAGAAAAATTTACAAACAAGAATCTGATATCAAGTTGCATAACTTAGAATCTTGGTCTGAGTATGGATGTAACTCAACCTACTATTTTTAAAAACTCTACTGTAAAATTTCAAACTTATATAGTAAATATATAAGTAAAGCAAAAGCATCATAAAATATAACCAACAAATACAATTAGTAGCTGCCAAAAGTTAATTTGAACCTTTATATCATTATCATCACATCATTTCATCTGACCTTTACCTTCCTCAGGGCCTACCATACACCCCTGTTTGCTGTCTACCAAATTCATCATCTTTTTCTATTGATTGTTGCTACATGCCTATAAGAATACACATTTGCTTAAAACAAAATGCACTTCAGACACTGATCTCAGGGGCCTATGAACTGGAGATGGAGCTGAAGTGAGTGAATCTACCTTCTCTAAGGACTTGCTCTCATGCTACTAGAAGGTGCCATGCAAGCTTCCAAAGGATTGAAGAAAGCAACATTCTCCCCAGCTATGATGCCTATGAATTTATTCATTTTCTCTTCTCTCTCTCTCTCTCTCTCTCTCTCTCATTCTCTCTCTCTCTCTTGCTCTCTCGCTTTCACTCTCTTTCTGTCTCTCTATATCTTCCATTTTTTTCCCATTGTTTTCTTCTTCAGTGGTTTGTTTATCTTCCAGTAAAAGATCACTGAAATTGAGTTGGAACATAAGTATGCTATATTAATCTAAATATCACTCAGTTTTTCTGTTAGCAGAAATTAGAACACTCCATTCTTAGCATCGTATAAACTGTGGTGAAGGACAATGCTATGGTATAATGCCTCTAACAGTTCCCCTCTGGTGCACTTTCATTGTTCTTTCCAAAAAATAATCCAATATAGACCTGCTAAAAACTCCTAAGTTTCAGAAAGTCATCATTACATGAATTATATAGCATTGCACCTAAACTAGAATACGGATGGCGATTTTCTTTTGCTTGTTGTTGTTTTTAATCTTCACAACACTGACCAGGTAGGTCCTTTGTCATGCAATTTCTTATGTAATTGCATCATGTTCTTTAGGACACACATTCAGCATTAATTTATGATTTGGATCTTTTAAATAAAGCTTTAAAATACTGCCAGTTGATTTTATTTGTAATGTTCTACAAAGTGCATCCTCAATGTATGCACTGAAGATTTTAATTGAGAATGCAGATCATTGAAATATGAGTTACTTGAGACACTAATAACCATAAATTATCATTTAAAAAATCACTTCTGACATTCCTGGATTATTAAAGTTCAAAAGCAAAGTGTTCAAGCAGCCATATTCTCTGATTCCAGGTAGGATACTATCACTTTCTCCAGAGTTCTGTCAGTAGCTGAAAATATCTGGCATTCTTTGGTTTGCTGATATGTAAGTCCAATCTTTCCCCCCTCTTCCTAAAAAACACACCTAATCTTTATCTCCACAGCAACTTGTAAGTGCACTAGCCACAGATAAGCAGCTTATCCAGTGTAGAACTACCTGCTCTTGATGAACTACTACTGCACAGACCTTCTTTCTATATAACCTGATAGTCCAAGGACACTGGATTCACTCCTCAACATGTGTTTCTATAGATGATGCAGAGAGGTGGCTTACTTTGTCAACCAAAATGCCTGGAAACAAATTTCAAGCAGAGGCATTTCTAATATCTTCTCATTGGTTTCTCAAAGGCAGGCAGATTGTAGCCAACTGGAGACTGATAGGGCTGTGTGGCCAAAGCTGTGAACAGTGATCTTTCCTACCTCAAGTGCACACCATTGAGCCTCCTTCTGGTTCTCCTTATTAAATAAATCAGATTTTTTAAAAATATTATCTTCTTTTATTTCAGTTAGTTTCAGAACATTTTCCTCCTTAATCTATAGTTTCCTATTCAAATATTTGCATGCTTAAACACCATTAAGCTGTGTTGTGCTATTCAAGTACACACATACATAACACACACACACACATACACACACAAAATCTTATATGACTTCATGTCTACACCAGGCATGTGTACAACCTATATCCCTGGTGCTGGCAAGGTCACAGGCAATGATGGGAGCCAAAGTCAGGTCCTCTGTAAGAGTCCCAAATATCCTTAACCACAAAGCCCTCCCTCTCTGGAAATCCTGTTTTATGTGGAAGCTTGTTTTTATACTCAAATATATTTATTGATTATTTTAGAGACATTCATCAGTGCCTACATCTGCTAATATTAAACATAAAAGTATTTTGTTTCTAAAGTATAGTATAAAGTGTTAACTAATGGTTATTTTCTTAATCTGTAATCTCATTTATATGAACTCATTATAAGTGTTTAATATATGCTTTCACAGAACTCTACGTAGAATGGCTACAGAACTTATTTAGTCTGAAGTGCACATCATTAAAGAAATGTCTCCATAGACTAGTGAGAGAAAAACACAACAGAAAGATTTCCTGACACCTAAATGATATATATTTCATGAACAAGAATGACTGCCTTGACGAAGGGGCCTATGTAGTGAGATTTACCTGATCCATAGAAAATAATTTCGGTATTCAATATTTCCACAATGCATTAATTGTGGCCATCATGTGTCTTGAGTGGTGTCATCCTGAAAGTGCTATTGACAATTCTCTGATAATATTTTAATCAGTTACACCCATAGTGAGTGTGGTAAATGATGCCTAATGTCCACTGAAATAGGAAAACACAGGTAGAGATGCCTTCAAACTACCCAGAATTTAGTCTTCTTAATTCTGTCAAATTTTCTTGTTAGGTAGTCTCACTAGGATAATTTTAATTGTCTTCTATGCTCTAGCATTTTCTCCAATGAATGGGTTAGTATTATGTGCCATGGATGTATTGAGATATAAAATCATGATTTCCTTTCTTGACTTTTAAAAAGTGTATGATATTACTAATATGGATGACAATGGACTTAAGAATTTGAAATTGGCTAGGGTGGAGATTTTTTTTTATCAAGATTATATATAGCTTTCAGTTCAGCTAAGTGCTGATGAAACTGTGGGGTTTTTGGAGGCAGTACTCTTCATTTTTCTAAGTGCCTTAGTAAAGAACAGCATTCATGACATCAACTCGGTATATTGACCTTTTTATTTTCCTGTTTCATTACTTGCAATGCAGGAGCGTGTTCCCGACAGTCCCTCACCTGCCCCCTCTCTTGAGGAGGGCCGAAGGCCTGGCAGCCACCCATCATCGCACCGCAGCAGCAGCGTGTCCAGCTCCCCTGCACGGACCGAGAGTTCTTCCGACAGAATCCGTAGGTCTCATACTTGTACTTGTCACCATCTTAAACTTTATTTTGTGCAGCTAGGCTTTCTAATCAAAATGCCCTCATTCCAAATAGATTTCAAATGTATCATGTTCCAAAGCTCCATAGCAATAGCCATTTCTCAAAATTATGTGTCCCAGTTTGGAATGCCTTGAAGGATGAAGCAGCATTAACAGGTTCTGCTATAACTTCCTGTCTTTGATACTACACATAAAGATTTGAGCTATGAAACAGAAAAAGTAAGTAATCTTCCAGATTAGTTTCTGAAGTACATAGCCAATTCCCAACTATCTAACATCTAAGTACATCGCTTAAGCTTTATTAAACGGCATTTCTTCAATGAAAACCTCTGCCACTTTTGAAATTCATCATGCTTTGACATTAATCAGTATTGAATAAAGATGTTCACAGATACAAACAACAGAAATGAAATTAAGCACAGTAAATTTAGAAAGTCTATTTCCTCTTCATTTTAGATGATCACTGGATAAAAGAACTTTAGTTTTAGGATTTCTGTTTTGAACAGTCCGCAATATATTCTCCTGTTATTAAAATTTTGAAGTACGTATTCAGTTTATTTCATATAAAAATTACAATATTAAATTGGATATGGCAAAATGGCTCAGCAGCTAAATGTATTTGATGGTCTTGAAGAGGACCAGAGTTTGTTTCCTAGTAACCATTTCTGGCCACTCATAACCACCTGTAATTCCAGCTCCAAAGAAATCTAGCTTTTATTTCTATACAGAAGGGATTTCTTCTATACAACCACAGACAAAGAGGCCAAAATCAAGATGCTAGCATTATTATAGCATTAATGTACAAACTATGGATATTTTCATATTTAATGAATTTTCCAACTAATTATTTGAAGAGCAAGATGATTTTCTTTTCTGGTACAAGACTCAACTCATGACCACAGATCACAGTATTATTATTATTATTTTTTATCTCTGCCAAAAGATGATGAAATTCTTCCAAGATCTCCCCCATCCCTATCATTCATTAAACACTGGGATAAACACAAGATAGTTTGCTTTGTAGAATACATTTTTTTCTGAAATTACTGTGATACTCCTCCTCATTAAGCTTTTGAATTTTTGCTCATACCACAGCTATGATGGAGCAGATTTGGAGAATCATGCAAAGTGGCAGGGAATATATACTGGTGACTATACCATGTGTTAATTTAAATGTTACCATTTTCAGATATCAACATTTTGATATACATACATACATACATAGGTAAAGTATTTTGTTGTTCATAAAAGTACCAACCTGAGCTTAAGAGTCACCACTGAAACTTGAAATAATAAAAGGTTGGCTGTCAGTGGCAATTCTTAATACAATCCAATGATATTAACAAGACTCTCTACTCTTCCAGGAAAGCAATGTTTTATACAATATATTTACCTACTCAATTTTTGCAAAACAAACAAGATTTATTTTGTTTGACCAAATTATTAAGTGAATTCATTGACTTACTTCTGTAAATTAGAGTGTTTAGTTATCTGAATAATAATAGTGTTTTATCATTCCAGTTGTGACAGATCACCACTAGCAGTTAGAGAAAGTAATTATTTTCCAATAATTTTGTTTATATTTATTGAATTTGTGTTGTTGAAAACTACTTTTCAGAAGAAATTCTTGATTCTTATGACATGCCACATTATGTGGTGTAGAATATAATACAGATTCCAAAACCATGGTTTTGATTCTTTATTTGCAGAAAAGTATACTGGCTTTGGTGGGTCACTTGGTCACCCCTTATTTTAACCTGGAAATGTTAAATGGAACTTAATTGTTAAGATCAAAGATTTTCAAAATTGGGGAAGATTATTTACTGAGGAGAAAACTTGATACACAGGCATACAATATTGAACCTCGTTCCTAATGTTTGCATTAAAATGACCATTGCACAATATTCTGACCATGGAAAGCAGTTTGTTTTGTTTTTGTTTTTTGAGACAGGGTTTCTCTGTGGTTTTGGAGGCTGTACTGGAGCTAGCTTTTGTAGACCAGGCTTGTCTCGAACTCACAGAGATCCTCCTGCCTCTTCCTCCCGAGTGCTGGGATTAAAGGCGTGTACCACCACCACCTGCCTAGCAGTTTGTTTTGTGTGAGAACAGATACAGTAAAGTGGTTTTATTTCCAGTGTTTTCTGCTTATCCTATTGGATTAGCATGTGTTATTAACCTCCCAGTAAATTTACCCAATGCTTGTAATTTCGAGGTTCGGTATCATATGATTGCTTTATTATTTTTACCACAATGTTATGATACTGTTGTGTCTCTTCCTTGTTTGGGGCTAACAGCTGTCCATCAGAATGGATTGTCCATGAACCAGATGCTGATGGGTTTATCACCAAATGTACTTCCTGGGCCAAAGGAGGGAGATTTGGCTGGTCATGACATGGGACATGAGTCCAAAAGAATTCACATTGAAAAAGGTAATTTACAATTCTGTGCCCTTTTTTTTGTTCTGGAAATGAAATAGGCTATCTATTCCTGCATTGGTAAAATAACATACATATCTTAAATGTATAATGGTAATAAAACATGAACCCTTTTCAATAAAAGATGTCTGAATGGAGGCCTGCTTCTTTCCTGCTATTGATGGTAGGTGACTATTTAATTTCCATAACAAATTTAAAAGAGAATTACATGAACCAGATGTCAATTTTGAAATTTTTAAAGGTTGCTTGTCTTTCTTAATGCATCCAAGACCATTTTATTTTACTTAGTAGGCAATAACCTGAAAAGGATTATTGAAATTATTTTTCTGATTTAAAGATGCACAATTATTCTTGGGTGAATCTGTAATGACATTTTAAAAGGTGTGGGAGGTGGGGTAGATAGCTCAGTTCATGAAAGGCTTATCTGGAGGACATCAGGATCTCAATTCCATCAGTAGGATCTGTGCAAAGACGGCCAAGAAAGTGATGTGCTTGTTATCTTAAAGCCGGGAGAGTGGAGACAAGAGGACTACCAGTGCTTAGTGGTCAGCTCACCTTACCTGCTGTTAGGTTCTAGTTCCAAGTAATAAATCATGTCTCAAAGTGAGAGTAGATAATTCCCGAGGAGGAGAAAAATACCTGAGGTCAACTTTGGGACTCTATACATATGTCCCTTGAGTTACACACACTCATTCACACAGAGAGAGAGAAAGAGAAAAGAGAGAAGAGAGAGATGTGTGTGCACGGGCATGCATGCATGCACACACACATTTCCCATCAATAACAAAGACTCCAAGGTATACAGATTCAGGTTTCCTACTGGAACACTTTTATATTTATCTTAGCTACTTCTACAACCAAAGCACTAGGAATGTACATTTGAATTTCCTACTGCATGAAGAGATTTCATTAGGAAATTTAATTGTTATTTTGTTATGCATATTAAACACATATGCTAAAAATATAAATACCAGTTTTCAAATAACACATTTGGGTTGTGACTATAGACCTAGTTACTTTTATTTCAACCTTCATGTATGTTTAAATTAGTCTTTGATTTTTGGAAATTATAATATAATCATATCATTTTTCCATTCACTTTCCCCCCTTCATGCTCTCTCATGCCTTCCTGGTCTCTTTCCAATTCTTGCTGGCCAGTTTTTTTAGTATTAAATAATTATTTCAAGTTTTTTCATATGGATAACCAGATTGCTCATTTTGACATGAAACCAAATAACTTGTTTTGTTTTTGTGAGTAAGAATTGGTACTTTGAAATTGGGAGTACACATTACTTGTCTAGCATGCACAAGATACTGGGTTCAAACTCTAACATAAAGAAATAATTTGTTTGATAAGTTTATAAAGGGTGTTAAAGCTTGATATTTAAATATTTAAATTAAAAAATGTTTTTAAGAGAAATTAAGAGAGCCCATTAAACATTAAAAATGCTTATGAAATATTTTCCTAAAATGGATTTCTAAGTCCCTTAAAGAGAAAAAAAATGTAAGTATGTACAAATAGGAGAACTATCAGTTCTTTGAAACATTCATGGGAACATAGTAATCTTCCCTGTGTTTAAATTTACCATGTTAAAGTAAAGATACTATTGAGGAATAGCAAAATTAAGGAATACTTTGTTATTTATTTTATATTATTATGTGCTTATAAAGTTGATTTTATGCTATTGTAACTTTAGTAGTCTATATAGTCCCAGAGCCTCTATACTTCTAACTCTAATATTTTTATGTATTCTCCTTCAATATTGAGGAAAACGTGTCATTTATTGTTTCATTCATATTTAATAGAAGATCATTATACAACAGAATTATAGAACTTGACATAGGACATATTTTATAAAATTACATTTTCCAGAAATATTTTAATATAAAAATTAGTTAGATGAGCAAAGGAACCATTTTCTCTAAAAGTTCAGCAAAAGAGCAAATCTCTACAGAAAATGAGTAGCTATTTTCTCAATTTTACATGGATGCTATTTATTCTGGTTCAACATAAAAAGCTATGAGGGGGCAGTAGATAAGACTCAGCCAGTGACAGCACTACTTCAAAGCCTGAGAATCTGGTTTTATCCCTGGAAACCGTATCTTAGAAGCAGAGTACCACTCTAGAAGTTTGACCTCTGATCTACAAATGCCTTCCTTGACATTCACACACACACGGAGACACAATAAAAACAATAACATAATTAAAAAAAAAAAGACATGGGAAGTTGACTGATAATATACAATGGGGATAAATATGTTAGGCCTTAAATATTTTCAGGATCATTGGTGTCAAAGGCTGGAGATTTTAATATAAAATTTAGAGACAGCAATGAATTGATAGTGAAGACAAAACGTACCTGATAGCACAGCATTAAATTCCATTGGAAAATTCGATGGAGATCTCTACAACCTTATGTTTCAGGTACACAGACATGTAGTATCCATGATTTAGGGGTTTAACTTAACTACATATTTGTCATAATTATCATATCTTTACTCTCATAGAACATTTTTAAATGGTTTTTGTTGAGTGTGTTCTCTCGTTTTTCTTATACACCCCTGACTTCACTTCAAAAATTTACTGTATTTGAATTTTCCTGTGGAAATTCTTTATTCACTAATACCTTTTCTTTTAGTGAAATTATTCATTCACTAATACTTTTTCTTTTAGTGTATAAGCTGAATATCTATGCATTTAAATTGATTATAAATAAATTGTCTAAACACTTGTATACTAATTGAGATTGAATTATGAGACAATATTAAAAAATAGAAAAAACTGAAAACAAAGATTATGATTACCTTCTTTCAAATTAATACTAGGTGAAAGTCAAGATTATGTTTATATAGAGGGCATTCTGACTAAGGATATACATAGCACCTTGCAAAGTTATTTATTACAGCCTGGGTTTCTAAAATGTTTCTCTCTCAGAAGAAAGACCCTAACTAAATCTCAAGTGTATCCCAATATTTCATACACAAAATTAGATGTTTACCATTCTGACTGGATATGAAACTACCATTGATTTCAAATCATGAAAATTTTAATAGATGTTGATATAATTATAGTGCTTTGTTTTATGGTGCTCTTTCCCTTGGAAGAACTCTTTATCTCTCATCTACTTCTAGACTACTGAATTAATAGGAAATATTCATGGGCTCTCTAGATTGATAGAGTTCCCTAAATTAAAAATTACTTTTTTTCATGACTCCATTTATCATGTCCCTCACAATAGCCCTGGATCTTCCTTAATACTCATATCTGTATTGAAGAAGTAACTTTATTTAGAGAAATATGTGGAAAAATTAATTATATATTCTTGTCATTTTTGGCTTGAACTTTTTATGTGTAATTTGCTTCCTAACAACTAAATCATTCAAAAACCAATAATTCTTTAAAAAAACATTGATATTTTGCATAGATAGCAAAATTCATTTTCATGTCTAAAATGATTATGATGTGAAGTTTTAATCATCAATAATGTTTAAACATGAATATCTTACTTAATATTAAAAACTTATCTACTATATTTGATGAGACAAAAAATAAGTAACTATTTGTTAATTGTCCTGAAACTTTATAAACAATGGAGTTCAAAAAGCAAATATCTGAATAGATACTTTCATTCATTTTGAGCTTGGGAAAGGTTTAAATAATGCACATTTAAAATATAAATAGGAAAATTGTTTTATATCAAGAAGTACAGACACTTAAAACGTGTGGAAATCCCAGGCATAAAGAGAAAAGTTTATTAAGATTTTAAACTTTCATTAAAGTCAAGTGAGTTTTAAAAATAAATGTTCTGATTGGAACTCTGATACTGTAAACAAAAGTTAAAAATTTGTTCTAGGGTCTTTTCAAAATATATTTTTTTGAGATTATAATATAATCTCCATCCCTTTTTGTCCCTCCAAGCCCTCCTAATTCCTTGGGTCTGTCTGAGTTTAGAAACACTAAGGATCTTTTCTCTGTGTGTAAAGAGCAACCAACAGAATGTGCTGCAGAGGAACATGGGATGTCACTGCTTGCTTGCATGGCTAGTGTCTTAGGACCTTGACTAGAGGTGACATACTAGAGAAAACTTGATAGAAACACAGACACACAGACACACAAAACCTGAGACAGGCTGGTCTGAACACTCAGATGGAGAAGCCACAGCAAGCCAGAAGTTCAGCATGTTTTCAATGTACACATAAACAGAGAGAAAACATTGTTGTATATGATGAACAAGGATTTAGGGCCATTTCAGATAAAGATAATATATATATGCCCAAGGATGTAGGTTTAGATAATATTTGTAGGAATAGGTTCTGTAGTAAAGCAGTCTCCAGGATGTGAATGTCTGTGGGGTAAAGTTACAGTGAATATTTTCTGTACATACTGTTGACATACACACAATGCCCTACAGAATGATTTTGCCATCCCTCAGAGGATCACTAGGGGAAGATTTGTGTAGTTGGCATTTCCTTTGAGCAGTCAACAAGTTCCTAAATAAAGACATGAAGTCTTTTTATTAATTATGAATGCTTAAGCTTTGGCTTGTCCCACTAGTTCTTTTAACTTAATTTGACCTGTTTATATTCATCTATGTTTTGCCTTGGGGCTTTTTACATTTCTATATATTTTATTTTTCTGCTTCCTCTTTCTCTGTCTGTCTTATCACTGGTGTCTCTTTTATTTTCTTTCTGAGTTTAAATTCCTTCTCTTAATCACTCTTCCTTCATGAAAGTCCTGCCTATAACTCCTCCCTCACTATTGGCCATTCAGTTTTTTATTAGACCAATCAGTTGCCTCCACAGGCAGGGTAAAGCAGCAAAAAATATTCACATAATTAAACAAATACAACATATATTTGAGGGGGGATGTTCAAGAAACTTCTGTCAGGCCATAAAATATTTGCCTTGAAGTAAACTGTTGGTCCAACACTTTTCAAGATTCCCAGTGTTTGTCAAACTTGCATTTTGTTTGGTGAATTAAATGACACAGTGTT